CAGTTCCAGAATTCAAACTGTAGAGGTAAATGGTGTTAGATCATCTGGATCTCATGTGGAAATGGGCGTTCCCCAGGGTTCAATTTTGGGTCCCTTTCTGTTTCTAGTATACATAAATGATTTGCCATTTTTTGTAGAAAATTTGTGTGAGATAGTATTATTTGCTGATGACACATCTTTATTATTTAACGTTGACAGGCGCAAGAACAACTATGACGATGTTAATAATGCTCTCTCGCAAGTTTTGCAATGGTTTAATGTTAATAATCTAAAGCTAAATGCTAATAAAACCAAGTGTATTAAATTTTCTTTACCTAATGTAAAAGTCGAACATATTGAAATTAAATTAAATAATAATAAATTAGATTTAGTAGACTCAACTACATTCTTGGGTATAACTATAGACTCAAAACTGCAATGGAATCATCACACTACGCTTTTGGCTGGTAAACTTAGTTCAGCAGCGTATGCCATAAGAAAGATAAGACAACTTACTGATACAGAAACTGCCAGGACTGTATATTTTAGTTACTTTCATAGTATCTTATCATACGGCATTATACTCTGGGGAACAGCAGCTGATATTGAAAGTATATTCATTCTACAAAAAAGAGCTGTGAGATCTATTTATCAATTGAGTAGCCGAACATCTCTTAGAGAAAAATTTAAAGAAATCGGCATTTTGACTGTTGCTTCTCAATTCATTTACAATTGTATACTCCTCGTTAAAAATAATATCAATTTGTATACCAAAAACAGTAACGTGCATAATTTTAACACAAGGAATAGAAATAAGCTTGCATTGCCACCCTACAGGTTACAGAAGGTTTACCGATCTTTTATGGGTCAAGGTATACATTTTTATAATAAAATTCCTGATGCCATTCTTGAGTTACCCATAAATGAGTTCAAGTGTCACATTAAAATTGTTTACTTAAGAAAGGCTATTATACTATTAAAGAATACTTAAATGACAACACTGCATGGCTGTAACTGTAAATTTGTTTTGTATTTGTTTGCAGTGTCGTACAGATAAATTACCTGAATTCTAAGTAACTATTTTGCTTGGTTTGAGTGGTTATGGGTAGTCATGCTCTCTTAAAAATCTCTTCGGCGGTGTCGTGTGAGGCGGGTCGTTGCGTTCCCTACAATATGGTTGAGCGAAACGATGGCTGGTTCATGCGTCATGCTCGTGAACGGGTGCTGCCAGCGGAGATGAGTCTGCTCTATACTACATTATTATTATTATAATGATAATTAATTATTTAAGTTAAATTTTATTTGTAATTGTATTTATACTGTATGGCACGGCAATCAGAAACAAAAAATTTAGGTGAACATTTATTATTTCTGAGATAAAGATTTAATGGTGGTGTGGATTCTGGCATGGTTCTCTAGACCTGAACTTTGGTTTTGCAGCGGTGTATCCTTATCATTCTCTATACAGAGTGAAGGGGGGGCACTGATGTTGGGTTTGGTTTTGGGTTTGGAGGGTAGTGGCAGAGTCGACACTAGTGTTTAGGTAACCACATGCATGTGTCCTACAGTTGTGTTTATAGTTTTTTATAGTAATGTACACTGGTACTTAATTTTTTTTTTCCCTATTTTGCTATCTAGTATCCATATGTGGTTATGGGTAGTCATACTCTCTTAAAAATCTCTTCGGCGGTGTCGTGTGAGGCGGGTCGTTACGTTCCCTAAAAAATGGTTGAGCGAAGCGATGGCTGGTTCATGCGTCATGCTCGTGAACGGGTGCTGCCAGCGGAGATGAGTCTGCTCTTGCTACATTGGGTACTATTAATCGTTGTATTTAACTTTAATGGTACATTTGTTTTTATGCCTAAACAGTGGGACACGGCATTCCTAAACTTTTTTTCATTTTTAAATCTGTTTTTTATATTTTTTATTTTATAGTCATAATTGTTTTATCATTTACATTTGTAATGGAAAGTGACTTCATGGGTTATCTCATATTGAACTCATTTTTCAAATTGACGACTCTGTATATAATACAGGGAGAAAAAAACAGCCCTTGCTGAGTTTCTTGCCGGTTCTTCTCAGTACAAGGTCTCCCGCCGTAGATTTGCGAACCGATGGCGTAGCTTTTCGACATTCACAAGTGCTTGTAACAGCCTAGACTGAATAAATGATATTGAATTTTGAATTTTTTGAATTTTACTCTTTGGTAGTCTCTAGTTTCATTTTGTATATAATTTTTTTATCGTAAAAGGAGTCGGAAAGGAGATATTGTCAAAATACTTCTTTTAAGCGCCTTTTTCCTAATATGGCGGCGCGAGCAGCAAAAATACAAGGTGGCAAATTCGAAATTCGGAAAGAGCACCTCAAAATTTATAAAATTACCAATTTTCAGAACTCCCGGAAAACTTTCCAGGTAACCACTTATTTCTCGCCAAATGACTGTACTATCAAACAACCAAACAAATGCTAACAGACAAATGACAAGAAACTCGAGTAATAAACAAAAGACAGATCCGTACCGTAATGGTTATTATGGGTGGAATTGTGACAAAAACTCCATTCATGCACTTTAGTCATAAAAAAAGTTGTAACAAAATTGACAGATAGAAAGGGATTTTTAGTTTGCGTAAAATGTTTTTCAATGTATTTAAATACCCGTTTTTTAAAGGTTCTGTTAAAAACAACCTCATTTAGATTATACAAGAAGCATCTTTTACCAAGGCAATTTTACATTAAAGATGTGTAAACAAACCGCTGCAGTGCGTAGATAACAAAATGTTAATCTTATAATGATTTGTTTTGTTTAAAGAGATAACTTTTACAAGCTCAGAAGTGATTATTGACGGTAACCAAATTTATGTTAATGGCCTGAAAAAATAAAACATTATAAGGATGTGTCTTAACAAATATACAACATTCCAAAATATAGACAGAGGGAAGTGTAAGTAATTTCAATTTGGGAAATAGCTGTCTCCATGATGTCATTTGCGAGATATCGCCTGTAGCTCGGATGCATTGTTTTCGGGATATAAAAGCTCTGTTAAATGTCCGTAGAATTTCCCAATAAAAGTACAACGTATTTAACATTGGATGCAACATATCCATGATAAGCCATTAAATCTGCGTTCAATAACACCATTACGACCTGGATTGAGACATAGGACACTTATTTTCGCAAAAATAGGTGGGGTTCCTGTGGTATTCTTCAAAAGCCAAAATTAACGCGAACGAAGTCACGGGCAGCTACTAGTATTATTAATGGAGTACGTTATATCCTTTCCTAAGTTCTTTCCTGGGATTCGCACCATGCATTTACTAAATTTAATTTAAACGCTTCGGCGGTGAGGTAACAAACAAACAGACACTTCTGCATTTAACATCTAAATTATATAACTGTACTACTCGGCTTTACGGGCGTTAATTTGAGGAAAAAATCAACTAATAAAAAATACTCCATACCATCGCAAATAATACATTATTAAAAAAAAAGGATTACCATAAAAATGTTAAAGTAAGTTAACCGTGAAAGAAAGACAGACATATATCCCCTCATTGATATAAAGTATAAGCTTAGATTACTAACTCCATGTTTAGTCCCTGTTCATTGCATTATATATCGCATTTTAGTAATATGAACAAAACACGGCGTAACTAGTCTAAGCGTATTTGGAACAAGCTGTATCCCGGAATTATTTTTAAAAACATTTAAAGAGGAAAAAAATTGCCATGCATGATTTGTGCATAACTTATAATTCTCGAAAAGTTTTTGTTTCTGCCCATATTGTTTGTAGCTTTATGTGATATGGCCTTTAGTTTTCCCAATAAATGAACTAATCGCCCAAATTATTTCAAAATCAAAATTGTAAAGTTATAGTAGAATAAATTAACACACGTGAAATCTTTAAACATTACACGCGTTCTGGCAGTGGTGTAAAAACATTTAAAAAAGTACCACAAATTCAAATCGTTCCTATTGGTATCAAAATTACCTGTTTGCCAGTCTGTAGTAGTGAAGGAATTTTCGATTAGTTAATCGATTTGTTTAGTTCATTGTTTCGAAAGGGCTTATTCTTATTGGTAGGTGCAGTTCACTAATTACTTATATATTAAAATGGAGAGTATAAATGACATAGATGGATGGTTTTGGCACTATTTATTATTTAACATTTGTAGACGACACTTATTTCAATAATGTCTCTTGTAAACGGTAACGCTATTTATTTGGAGAATATAGAGGGACCATGCTTTCAAAGCGTGAGTGGCGCGCAGGTTGAACAGCATGTAAGTTTAAGATAATATTAACTAATTTAAATAAATTTTATTGCAATGTATTATTTTTACATTTTTTATAGACACACTGTAAATATTGTTTTGAAAATGTTTTTCGTTCACTTCTTTTTATAGTACTTCTATTTTACGTATAATTAAAAATAACATCTTGACTAACAAAAGTTTTCTAAAAAAGTTATTCTATAATGAAATGTTCATTTCATTATATATTTTTACAAAATTATGTATTTTACCTAAACATTTTTTTTTCACTATAATAACATTTTTACATACTGTAGTTATTAACAGTAATTTCTTTGTCCTAACAGCCTGAGTGCAGCGAATTGGTGGGGCTGCCGGTACTCAATTACCACCAGTACGAGTACCACCGGGATGGCACTGCACCGGAGAATCTAGGAATTGTGGCCAACAGCGGTGCAATGCCTCCTTCTTACAACGTCCTGGCTCCAAACGACATCGCGGCTCCTATTGACATCCCAGTTTCGCACAACATCCCGGCTCCGTACGACGTCCCGGCTCCGTATGACGTCCCGGCTCCTTACGACTTCCCGGCTCCTTACGACGTCCCGGCTCTACCTGAAAATCAGGCTACTTACAACATGCCGCCACCTCCGTCTTACTACGCTATGGCTCCATCTTACAACATGCAGCCGCAACAGCAAGTTCTTTCATTGCAAGGTGGGCACAATCATATCAACCAAGATTCACGGTGTTGTAACTACGGTGGGCAGTCTGTGCACGTAGTCAATAAATCTGCTACCAAAAAGCCAAAGCGACACAGGACTGCCTTTACCACGGATCAAATTACTGCTCTGGAGCTGGAATTCGCGAAGTCGCGATATGTAGACCGCACTCGGCGTTTGGAACTGGCAAATACGCTGCGCATGACCGATCGCGCTATCAAAGTCTGGTTCCAAAACCGGCGGATGAAAGACAAAAAGGAGAGGATGGGAAGCCCAGAAATAGATATTTCGTCAAGTTTCAATCATTCTGAGCATCGACAATGTTTTTGTAATAAATGACTCTAAAGTGATCCTATTAAGAAATATGTTTATGTTAATTAAAATAAATCTAAAATACCTATTTTACATTTTGTTTTTGTTCTCAACCTAAGTTTTTTTCACAAAGACTTTTAACAACAGGTATTTGGGAGTTTGAGAGACATATTCTTACTCATGGTGTCATTTTTAGTTTTTTTTTCTATTTATTTAGGTAAACAAAAAATTACAAAGTAAATACATAAAATATCTGTATTGGTAATGAGATATATATATTTTAATCGAGCACCGTTTACCGAAATTTCCATCAAACAGCGTTGAGTGTATTAATATTAACAACGCAACTGACAAGGTGTGTTACAATATAATTAGAAAAAAATATCCAGGCAGCAGACGGGACTCGAACCCGCACCCTTCGCTATCCGAGCGAATGCACTGAATAATTATGCTACCGCGGCCCTGATGGCCGATTCGAAACTCTTCTAGCCAAGCTTAAGCTGCAAGGCAGCGCCACCTCTTTGCATTGTAGGTAACCCACAATGTCAAATGAATACTTTTACAAGTATTAAACATTTGAAAGAAGAAATAGCAATTATAGTAATAATTTTAGTTTTTTAAGCATGTAACTGCTTGATGTTTAAATATAAAGAGTTAGCCTAAAATTCGTTAGTTATCTCGCCTTAAACCCATACTTAAATACCAAATAATGTTATTCTCTGTATATAAGAACTAGTACCACATTTTTACCTCTACACTGGCCACTACAGAAACTGAAATTTTCCCTTTGTTTGTGTTTGTATAATGGAAACGGAACCCTACACTGAACATCCAACATGTTCTTGCCCGGTATAAAATCTTGTTTAATTATGACTTGAAATTTGCTTAATTCACTTGGATAAAAACGTAGTAAGTTCAAGGCTCTCTGTGATAGATAAGCTTTTGGATAATACCGCAAGAGGACTTCGGTCTCCCTGTGAAAAATTCGCATTTGAAGAAGAATGCAACAGGTCAAAGTCTTACATTGACTACTTCTCAAATTGGACAGGCATAAACCGAATTATTCAGATTATGTTTGAGGTACACCTGGACAGAAGGTCACTATTCCCGTTGCGTTTGTATACAGTGACTATTCGCGACCAAGGAGACGCTTATATATTTCAATAATTCTCGACTCGATGTTGACCTCGTTATAATGTTGTTTCTGATATATTGTCAAAATATACAGGTATATCATTTATTTTATATCCGATGTTTTTTAAAATGCTCAACATGATGAACATGAGTCTCACTATTACTATTTGTCGATTTGTAATTCAATGGGAATAGTGAGGCTGGTTTGAAAAAAAAGTTCAGTCTCAGTATTACCATTGAAATAGTGAGACCCACCCTTGCAAACACCTTCTGCATTGCTCTTAGCAGTTTACTCCCAAGTAGAATTCGGTGCAAAATTTACACTATTTTAAGTATCTTCCATATAAGTAACTCGTATTTCCCAAGCTTACATAAAATTTTAGTTGCAGGTAAGTATATAAAACACATGTGAATCCGGGAAAAAATAACATTTCTTGTAGATCATATTATACTGTCGTGAATCACCAGGAAGAGAGGTGTGAGGTTATTATTAACCCTTACACAAGTTACCCAATTAGCAAAGTATCAATCATTATATTTTCGATTTCCACACTTTCATCATAATATATTATAAATGATTCACTTTTAAATTATTACTTCATTGGAGCTTTATAGTAATAGATCTTTTAAAAGCATTGTTAATCGTCAAATAAATTCGATTAAGTATATATTTACGTTTAACAATTTTTTTTAAATATCTCTGATTGAATATTGTAAGCCTAAATAAAAATCTAAAAAATTGTTGACAACATCAGTGTGAATATGTCTCCCACACCGGTACCTAGGTATTAAGAAAATTCATGCGGTAATTGGGGATAACGTCAATAAATTAGGGAAACACACAGGCTGTTCAAAAAGTATCGCGAATTTTATATTTCGGTGGGCTACGTCCCTGAACGAGTTTTGACCTATCTTCGATTTCTTCCTATTTCTAAATCTGGGAGTACCGTGTCTATATATATATTTAATACGAAATTCAGTGTACAGTCGCATTTCGATTGTTAATTGTGTCAAAAGGTGAAGGCTACCTTTCCCTTAAAATATTTATCGGTGCTACAAAACTTGCTCAAGGGGGCCAAGATGACAGACAAAGTGTGTAGCATGCTAACAACAGACGAAAACTTAATAAAAAAAAAACAATGTATTGGTCCATCGTCGAATCACAATTAGAGAAGTTGCTGTGGACACCACATATCGATTGGCTCGTGCCATTTCATTGTTATCATTGATTTGGGCATAAGGCAGCTCGCCGTACAAAATCATGCCTAAATAGGTCTATTTTAATTTTTTTGTGCGTGATGCTTTGGACAAAATCACCACGCTAATGATACAGCAGCCGCCCGTATTTCACAGATCTGGAACTGTGCCGTTTCCAGTTCCCAAAACTGAAAAGGCCCATGAAAAGACGACGCTACGCCACAACGAAAGCTATAAAGACGGCATCGAAGGAGGAGATGAACAAGATCACAAAGAAAGATTTTTTCATGCTTCGAGAATTGGAAAAAGCTTTTGTATATATGTATATTTTTTTTGGGAACCCAAGAAAAACGATAACTTAAAATTTAAATTTTTGAACAACTTGGTATACTTTTTTTATAAATTACATAGGTATAATCATATTTTGTGAAGAAAATATATATTGGTTGTCCCTTATAAACAAACATTTCTTATTGTATTATAATTAATAATAAGTACGCTTTACAAGAGCTGTTTTATTTTATAATTGTAATAAAATAAACATTTAGTTGTGAACCACTTAAATATATTAAAATGGAAGCTTGTGGGTTGTTAGCATTAAAATAATATTTTGCTAATCGGGTAACTTCTGTAAGGGTTCATGATAATTTTTTGTTGGTGATACACGATACTATCCAACAAATGATAATTTTGATTAGATTCGCATCTATTTTAAATACTTACTTAACACTCAAATTTTAAAAAGAAGAGAGAAAAATTTATATTAAAATATATTAAATAGTGCCAATTCTGCACCGCTTGCCATTTAGAGGGGTGAAATGCTAAGAGTAATGCAGAAGAAGTTATCTGCACCGTTCGAGATTTATAATTTATTTATCAACATTCAGAAATGATTTATCGAATATCGCATAATTGGTAGTTATAATAAGAAACGGCGAAAAGCGCCACATTTTTTAATACGACCTATAAAATAGACATTTACTAAAGTTATCCTCCCTTATTAATAAACGAAGAATGGGCTTGGATGAGTTACTCTATATTTTGTCTCTGATAATTGAATTACAAAAATCACTTAAGTGATCTTTTATGAACAAACCACGATGTAACCAGTCTAAGCTTATTCCTCATTTATAATGAGGGGGGATAAGGCTTAAACAACCAAACAAATGCGAACAGACAAATGACAAGAAACTCGAGTATAAACCAAAATATACATGCGGGCAATACTCATTGAAGGTGAAAAACGTCACAAAAAACACGCTATCCGTGTAGTTTTGTAAGTAAGTAATAAATGAAACTTATTAAACTAATTCCTCTAGCCATTCTTAAGCTGCAAGTCAGCGCCATCTCTTTGCATTGTACGTAACCCACAATCTCAAATGAATACTTTTACAAGTATTTAACATTTGAAAGAAGAAATAGCAATTATAGTTATAATTTTAATTTTTAAGCATGTATTTGCTTGATGTTTAAATCTAAAGAAAATATAACTAGAAAAAAAAACAATTATGTTGTTGCTATACTCAATAGATGACATTTTTAAAAGCTACTTTTAAAATAAAAATGTCTTTTAAATTGTATGTACTCTAAGCTAGAGATAACTGAACATTAAGAAAATGTAAACAAACATCTGCAGTAATTTTATTTTTATGGGGAGAAAATTCCTGAACCGGTTCAAGAAACGAAGTGAGTAAACAATCTTACGGCTCACTTCGGCAATTTGTGTGGTCCAGCTGAGAGAGGAATCAATGTAAAGACAATTTTTTTTTACACCTAAACTAAGCGGCAGTATCGTGCCTTCATACACGACAGGCCGGAGAGAACTTTGGTCAATTTTAACTATTTGTTTAGAGCCACCTACGATAATGGCCTGACAAGATTATGACGAAAATATTTGTACCACAAAATATAATCGTCACTGGCCATGGCCTCTCATGCCAAACGAGTTTTGGCCGAGTCTCCCGCCACGCCTGCATCAATGACGTCATCCGCAGGGCTCTTGTCGCTGTCAACGTACCAGCGGTCCTTGAGCCTAGTGGCAACTTCCGCGACGATGGCAAGACACCTGACGGGATGACGCTCATTCCTTGGAAGCAGGATCATCCTCTTGTATGGAACGCAACCTGCGCGTATACGCTTGCTCCGTGCCATACAGGTAGTACCTCCCTAGCTGCAGGCGCAGCGGCGGCCTCTGCCGTGTGCTCCAAGCGGTGCAAATATTCAGCTCTCAATAGAACTACATATTTATGCCGTTTGGTGTTGAGACTATGGACCCATGAGGTCCAAATGCTTCCAGCCTATTGAGCATTATTCCTGATGGCGATGTGATTTTTTATTTTGTTTATTTATTTATGTGGGTTACTAGGTAAAACTATATAGTTTTTAGGTTTGTGTTATTTTAAGGTATTATCTTCGTAAAATAATAAACGTAATAAAAATTGTCACTGTACTGGCATGAAAATTAAGTAATTGTGGGAAATTGTTAATGAATTTTCAATTTGTTAATCGTTTTGTTTTGTTCAGTGCATTTATTCATGTACTTAATGAGGGGGCCATTACACACACTAATTAGTATAGGATTAAAATTAGGCGTATACACGAAATAGAATAAGTACTAAAACGAATAACTGTTGCACCTGAAATCGAGGTCTGCAACGAAGAAATTATTATTCCTTATAAAATCTTAACCTTTTTGAACATCCCGTCTCATTATAACATCCCTTAAACTTACAGAATCTCACCTAATTACAACATACCTACATCCAACATGTCTCCTCCTTACAACATAGCTCTTTCGTACTGCCTGCCAATAAAATTTATTTACTACCTACAGGTAGGTAGGTCGTTATTCCGCTAACTCCGCGCGATGTCATTACAACGGTGGACAGTTATCTAGTGTCGTCAAGAAATCTTCAACTAAAAAGCCTAAGCGTCACACTGCTTTCACAGAAGATCTAAATAACAGTATTAGAAACGGAATACGCACAGAAGTATGTGATGCGTCAAATGGAACTACCCAATTTCCACCGCATTACAGATAGCTGTTCAAAAGTCTGGTTTCATAACAGGTGGATGAAGGAGAAAGAGGAGATGACTACATACCCTTATGTGTCAATCAATCTGAAGGTTTTTGGAATAACTAATTCTATGGTGTTTGTGTTAAAGATAATGTTTTTTGTGTTTTTGTAAATAAATGTCTTAAATATTATTGTATATTTTTTTCATTGTAAGCCTCAGTTTCCAGTTGATTTCTTAGTTTAGGGGTTTCATCGAAAAGAAATATTGTAGATGATAACAACACAATATATACAACGCATAATTTCTTACAGCTCAGTCAGATTTAAATAATATTTTCTTTATTGGAAATGCTTATACCCCGAAGTTGGTCCCATATAAATTTGAAAAAAAACACCTTAAGGGTAGGAAAACAGGGAATTATTGTTCTTATGATTATTTGTTATGATTGATTGTTCACCCAAAAAATATTAAAACGGGTTATCAGATCGTGTTTAGATCTATTATAAAGATAAAGTACTCAACGCATTTTCGACGACCTCCGTGGCCGAGCGGTTTGTCCGTGGCCGAGCGGTTTGTACGCCGGGTTAAAAGGTATCGCCTACTTGAGAGTCGCGGGTTCGAATCCCGGTGGGGGCAGATGTTTGTGTGACGAATACGAGCATTTGTATGGATGTTTAATATCTATTTCTAATATAAATATTTACATATGTATCAGTATATTTATTCTATCCATTACCTTAGTGTCCTATAAATATGAGCCTACAATGCTTACTTTGACGCAAGGCTAATTGGTGTGAGTGTTGGTTTAAAAAAAACGCACGTGAATACCTTCTACTCGCTAATTACATATTTTTTATATTTCATTAATTGCTCACAAGTAGGTACTGCAAAAAACACATTATGATCATATCAATGTAAGACAAATAAATAAACTTAATATTATAATTTAAACTTTGACTAATTATTTGTAAAATGTTCTTTGATTGCGAACTGTAAAATAGACTATCACTTAACTTCTTAATAAACGAAGAAAAATCTTGGATTAGTTACTCTGTTTTATCTCTGTTAATTAAATTACAAATGACCCTTGAGTGGGACGGAACGTGGGACACTCGGAAAGTTTTAAGAAACTAAGAAACTAAATTCTATTAAAAAAAAATAGTTTTATTAAATCTTTCTTAAGAAAAAACTCTCCACCAGGCTCTATACAGTGTTTCATGTGTTTGAACCAATTTCCAAAACATTTTTTTTCCAATCCTCAACAGACACCTCATCCACGGCCTTCTCAAACGCTGCTAGCGCTTCTTCCGGCGATGAAAACTGTATTCCTTTGAGCTGATTTTTTTATTTAAGGGAATAAAAAGAAGTCACACGGAGCCAAATCAGGACTGTAAGGAGGGTGTCCGAAGACTAACTGGTGTGGAGTCCAGGACATCCTTCGTTTTGGTCGCAGAATGCGCGAGCGCGTTGTCGTGGTGAAGAAGGACCCCGCGGAGCCCGGTGTTAGGTCGCTTGTTGCTCACTGCAAAAAAAACTTCTGGCAGGCATTTTGTGCTATACCATTCGGCGTTGATGCTGCTTTGGTCTCGAAGTGGAATTGAAATTAGGTACCCCGTCAAAGTGAAGAAACTAGCGATCAAAATTTTCCCTGCGCTCCCCGATCGCTTCACTTTCGTAGGCGTTTGTTCATTTTGAAACAGCCTAACTGTCGACTGACGCTTTGTTTCTGCATCGTTTGAATTAATCCAGCATTCGTCACCTACCACAATATCGTAAACGCGCCTTGACGAGCCTGCATCAAATTTTTGTATATATCACTGCACCAATCCACACGGGCCTGCTTCTGAACTTCGGCGAGGTTGTGCGGCACCCAGCGGGAAACTATCCTCGTTACGCAAAGGTGCTCGGGCAAAATCTTGTGAACACCTCCTGAACCAATCTGCAATGCTGAATCTCCTCGTACGTAATTCGTCTCTGTTCTTGAATATTTTTTTTACTGCTAGCACACTTTCTTCGGTGGCAGCCGTCGTAGGACGACCAAATCTTTTTTCATCCCCCAAAGTAAGTTCCCCTGACCGCGTTTGAATTCGCTATACCAGCGGTAGATGGTCGCTTTTGAAGGTCCTTCATCCATAAAAGTAGTTCGAAATCGATCAAATGACTCATCTGGTTTTAGGCCACATTTAAAGTCGTAATAAATCATTGCACGAACATGTTCTCAATGCAGATCCATTTTTTAATAAGACAAGTAAAAATTTATTGGGTCTCGAAAAGATGCGGATGCTTTTAAATAATGGAAGTTTTCAAAATAATAACAAGTGGCTAGTGTCTTATGCGTAAAAACTTTTTTTCGCAAACTTTCTGAGTGGTCATGTGGTATTTATGAACAAAACACGGCGTAACTAGTTTAAGCTTATGCCTCGTTTATTGATATCGGGGATAAGGTTTATAGTACAGTCATTTCGTAATTTTACTCTTTGGTAGTCTCTAGTTTCATTTTGTATATAATTTTTTTATCGTAAAAGGAGTCGGAAAGGAGATATTGTCAAAATACTTCTTTTAAGCGCCTTTTTCCTAATATGGCGGCGCGAGCAGCAAAAATACAAGGTGGCAAATTCGAAATTCGGAAAGAGCACCTCAAAATTTATAAAATTACCAATTTTCAGAACTCCCGGAAAACTTTCCAGGTAACCACTTATTTCTCGCCAAATGACTGTACTATCAAACAACCAAACAAATGCTAACAGACAAATGACAAGAAACTCGAGTAATAAACAAAAGACAGATCCGTACCGTAATGGTTATTATGGGTGGAATTGTGACAAAAACTCCATTCATGCACTTTAGTCATAAAAAAAGTTGTAACAAAATTGACAGATAGAAAGGGATTTTTAGTTTGCGTAAAATGTTTTTCAATGTATTTAAATACCCGTTTTTTAAAGGTTCTGTTAAAAACAACCTCATTTAGATTATACAAGAAGCATCTTTTACCAAGGCAATTTTACATTAAAGATGTGTAAACAAACCGCTGCAGTGCGTAGATAACAAAATGTTAATCTTATAATGATTTGTTTTGTTTAAAGAGATAACTTTTACAAGCTCAGAAGTGATTATTGACGGTAACCAAATTTATGTTAATGGCCTGAAAAAATAAAACATTATAAGGATGTGTCTTAACAAATATACAACATTCCAAAATATAGACAGAGGGAAGTGTAAGTAATTTCAATTTGGGAAATAGCTGTCTCCATGATGTCATTTGCGAGATATCGCCTGTAGCTCGGATGCATTGTTTTCGGGATATAAAAGCTCTGTTAAATGTCCGTAGAATTTCCCAATAAAAGTACAACGTATTTAACATTGGATGCAACATATCCATGATAAGCCATTAAATCTGCGTTCAATAACACCATTACGACCTGGATTGAGACATAGGACACTTATTTTCGCAAAAATAGGTGGGGTTCCTGTGGTATTCTTCAAAAGCCAAAATTAACGCGAACGAAGTCACGGGCAGCTACTAGTATTGTTAATGGAGTACGTTATATCCTTTCCTAAGTTCTTTCCTGGGATTCGCACCATGCATTTACTAAATTTAATTTAAACGCTTCGGCGGTGAGGTAACAAACAAACAGACACTTCTGCATTTAACATCTAAATTATATAACTGTACTACTCGGCTTTACGGGCGTTAATTTGAGGAAAAAATCAACTAATAAAAAATACTCCATACCATCGCAAATAATACATTATTAAAAAAAAAGGATTACCATAAAAAAGTTAAAGTAAGTTAACCGTGAAAGAAAGACAGACATATATCCCCTCATTGATATAAAGTATAAGCTTAGATTACTAACTCCATGTTTAGTCCCTGTTCATTGCATTATATATCGCATTTTAGTAATATGAACAAAACACGGCGTAACTAGTCTAAGCGTATTTGGAACAAGCTGTATCCCGGAATTATTTTTAAAAACATTTAAAGAGGAAAAAAATTGCCATGCATGATTTGTGCATAACTTATAATTCTCGAAAAGTTTTTGTTTCTGCCCATATTGTTTGTAGCTTTATGTGATATGGCCTTTAGTTTTCCCAATAAATGAACTAATCGCCCAAATTATTTCAAAATCAAAATTGTAAAGTTATAGTAGAATAAATTAACACACGTGAAATCTTTAAACATTACACGCGTTCTGGCAGTGGTGTAAAAACATTTAAAAAAGTACCACAAATTCAAATCGTTCCTATTGGTATCAAAATTACCTGTTTGCCAGTCTGTAGTAGTGAAGGAATTTTCGATTAGTTAATCGATTTGTTTAGTTCATTGTTTCGAAAGGGCTTATTCTTATTGGTAGGTGCAGTTCACTAATTACTTATATATTAAAATGGAGAGTATAAATGACATAGATGGATGGTTTTGGCACTATTTATTATTTAACATTTGTAGACGACACTTATTTCAATAATGTCTCTTGTAAACGGTAACGCTATTTATTTGGAGAATATAGAGGGACCATGCTTTCAAAGCGTGAGTGGCGCGCAGGTTGAACAGCATGTAAGTTTAAGATAATATTAACTAATTTAAATAAATTTTATTGCAATGTATTATTTTTACAATTTTTATAGACACACTGTAAATATTGTTTTGAAAATGTTTTTCGTTCACTTCTTTTTATAGTACTTCTATTTTACGTATAATTAAAAATAACATCTTGACTAACAAAAGTTTTCTAAAAAAGTTATTCTATAATGAAATGTTCATTTCATTATATATTTTTACAAAATTATGTATTTTACCTAAACATTTTTTTTTCACTATAATAACATTTTTACATACTGTAGTTATTAACAGTAATTTCTTTGTCCTAACAGCCTGAGTGCAGCGAATTGGTGGGGCTGCCGGTACTCAATTACCACCAGTACGAGTACCACCGGGATGGCACTGCACCGGAGAATCTAGGAATTGTGGCCAACAGCGGTGCAATGCCTCCTTCTTACAACGTCCTGGCTCCAAACGACATCGCGGCTCCTATTGACATCCCAGTTTCGCACAACATCCCGGCTCCGTACGACGTCCCGGCTCCGTATGACGTCCCGGCTCCTTACGACTTCCCGGCTCCTTACGACGTCCCGGCTCTACCTGAAAATCAGGCTACTTACAACATGCCGCCACCTCCGTCTTACTACGCTATGGCTCCATCTTACAACATGCAGCCGCAACAGCAAGTTCTTTCATTGCAAGGTGGGCACAATCATATCAACCAAGATTCACGGTGTTGTAACTACGGTGGGCAGTCTGTGCACGTAGTCAATAAATCTGCTACCAAAAAGCCAAAGCGACACAGGACTGCCTTTACCACGGATCAAATTACTGCTCTGGAGCTGGAATTCGCGAAGTCGCGATATGTAGACCGCACTCGGCGTTTGGAACTGGCAAATACGCTGCGCATGACCGATCGCGCTATCAAAGTCTGGTTCCAAAACCGGCGGATGAAAGACAAAAAGGAGAGGATGGGAAGCCCAGAAATAGATATTTCGTCAAGTTTCAATCATTCTGAGCATCGACAATGTTTTTGTAATAAATGACTCTAAAGTGATCCTATTAAGAAATATGTTTATGTTAATTAAAATAAATCTAAAATACCTATTTTACATTTTGTTTTTGTTCTCAACCTAAGTTTTTTTCACAAAGACTTTTAACAACAGGTATTTGGGAGTTTGAGAGACATATTCTTACTCATGGTGTCATTTTTAGTTTTTTTTTCTATTTATTTAGGTAAACAAAAAATTACAAAGTAAATACATAAAATATCTGTATTGGTAATGAGATATATATATTTTAATCGAGCACCGTTTACCGAAATTTCCATCAAACAGCGTTGAGTGTATTAATATTAACAACGCAACTGACAAGGTGTGTTACAATATAATTAGAAAAAAATATCCAGGCAGCAGACGGGACTCGAACCCGCACCCTTCGCTATCCGAGCGAATGCACTGAATAATTATGCTACCGCGGCCCTGATGGCCGATTCGAAACTCTTCTAGCCAAGCTTAAGCTGCAAGGCAGCGCCACCTCTTTGCATTGTAGGTAACCCACAATGTCAAATGAATACTTTTACAAGTATTAAACATTTGAAAGAAGAAATAGCAATTATAGTAATAATTTTAGTTTTTTAAGCATGTAACTGCTTGATGTTTAAATATAAAGAGTTAGCCTAAAATTCGTTAGTTATCTCGCCTTAAACCCATACTTAAATACCAAATAATGTTATTCTCTGTATATAAGAACTAGTACCACATTTTTACCTCTACACTGGCCACTACAGAAACTGAAATTTTCCCTTTGTTTGTGTTTGTATAATGGAAACGGAACCCTACACTGAACATCCAACATGTTCTTGCCCGGTATAAAATCTTGTTTAATTATGACTTGAAATTTGCTTAATTCACTTGGATAAAAACGTAGTAAGTTCAAGGCTCTCTGTGATAGATAAGCTTTTGGATAATACCGCAAGAGGACTTCGGTCTCCCTGTGAAAAATTCGCATTTGAAGAAGAATGCAACAGGTCAAAGTCTTACATTGACTACTTCTCAAATTGGACAGGCATAAACCGAATTATTCAGATTATGTTTGAGGTACACCTGGACAGAAGGTCACTATTCCCGTTGCGTTTGTATACAGTGACTATTCGCGACCAAGGAGACGCTTATATATTTCAATAATTCTCGACTCGATGTTGACCTCGTTATAATGTTGTTTCTGATATATTGTCAAAATATACAGGTATATCATTTATTTTATATCCGATGTTTTTTAAAATGCTCAACATGATGAACATGAGTCTCACTATTACTATTTGTCGATTTGTAATTCAATGGGAATAGTGAGGCTGGTTTGAAAAAAAAGTTCAGTCTCAGTATTACCATTGAAATAGTGAGACCCACCCTTGCAAACACCTTCTGCATTGCTCTTAGCAGTTTACTCCCAAGTAGAATTCGGTGCAAAATTTACACTATTTTAAGTATCTTCCATATAAGTAACTCGTATTTCCCAAGCTTACATAAAATTTTAGTTGCAGGTAAGTATATAAAACACATGTGAATCCGGGAAAAAATAACATTTCTTGTAGATCATATTATACTGTCGTGAATCACCAGGAAGAGAGGTGTGAGGTTATTATTAACCCTTACACAAGTTACCCAATTAGCAAAGTATCAATCATTATATTTTCGATTTCCACACTTTCATCATAATATATTATAAATGATTCACTTTTAAATTATTACTTCATTGGAGCTTTATAGTAATAGATCTTTTAAAAGCATTGTTAATCGTCAAATAAATTCGATTAAGTATATATTTACGTTTAACAATTTTTTTTAAATATCTCTGATTGAATATTGTAAGCCTAAATAAAAATCTAAAAAATTGTTGACAACATCAGCGTGAATATGTCTCCCACACCGGTACCTAGGTATTAAGAAAATTCATGCGGTAATTGGGGATAACGTCAATAAATTAGGGAAACACACAGGCTGTTCAAAAAGTATCGCGAATTTTATATTTCGGTGGGCTACGTCCCTGAACGAGTTTTGACCTATCTTCGATTTCTTCCTATTTCTAAATCTGGGAGTACCGTGTCTATATATATATTTAATACGAAATTCAGTGTACAGTCGCATTTCGATTGTTAATTGTGTCAAAAGGTGAAGGCTACCTTTCCCTTAAAATATTTATCGGTGCTACAAAACTTGCTCAAGGGGGCCAAGATGACAGACAAAGTGTGTAGCATGCTAACAACAGACGAAAACTTAATAAAAAAAAAACAATGTATTGGTCCATCGTCGAATCACAATTAGAGAAGTTGCTGTGGACACCATATATCGATTGGCTCGTGCCATTTCATTGTTATCATTGATTTGGGCATAAGGCAGCTCGCCGTACAAAATCATGCCTAAATAGGTCTATTTTAATTTTTTTGTGCGTGATGCTTTGGACAAAATCACCACGCTAATGATACAGCAGCCGCCCGTATTTCACAGATCTGGAACTGTGCCGTTTCCAGTTCCCAAAACTGAAAAGGCCCATGAAAAGACGACGCTACGCCACAACGAAAGCTATAAAGACGGCATCGAAGGAGGAGATGAACAAGATCACAAAGAAAGATTTTTTCATGCTTCGAGAATTGGAAAAAGCTTTTGTATATATGTATATTTTTTTTGGGAACCCAAGAAAAACGATAACTTAAAATTTAAATTTTTGAACAACTTGGTATACTTTTTTTATAAATTACATAGGTATAATCATATTTTGTGAAGAAAATATATATTGGTTGTCCCTTATAAACAAACATTTCTTATTGTATTATAATTAATAATAAGTACGCTTTACAAGAGCTGTTTTATTTTATAATTGTAATAAAATAAACATTTAGTTGTGAACCACTTAAATATATTAAAATGGAAGCTTGTGGGTTGTTAGCATTAAAATAATATTTTGCTAATCGGGTAACTTCTGTAAGGGTTCATGATAATTTTTTGTTGGTGATACACGATACTATCCAACAAATGATAATTTTGATTAGATTCGCATCTATTTTAAATACTTACTTAACACTCAAATTTTAAAAAGAAGAGAGAAAAATATATATTAAAATATATTAAATAGTGCCAATTCTGCACCGCTTGCCATTTAGAGGGGTGAAATGCTAAGAGTAATGCAGAAGAAGTTATCTGCACCGTTCGAGATTTATAATTTATTTATCAACATTCAGAAATGATTTATCGAATATCGCATAATTGGTAGTTATAATAAGAAACGGCGAAAAGCGCCACATTTTTTAATACGACCTATAAAATAGACATTTACTAAAGTTATCCTCCCTTATTAATAAACGAAGAATGGGCTTGGATGAGTTACTCTATATTTTGTCTCTGATAATTGAATTACAAAAATCACTTAAGTGATCTTTTATGAACAAACCACGATGTAACCAGTCTAAGCTTATTCCTCATTTATAATGAGGGGGGATAAGGCTTAAACAACCAAACAAATGCGAACAGACAAATGACAAGAAACTCGAGTATAAACCAAAATATACATGCGGGCAATACTCATTGAAGGTGAAAAACGTCACAAAAAACACGCTATCCGTGTAGTTTTGTAAGTAAGTAATAAATGAAACTTATTAAACTAATTCCTCTAGCCATTCTTAAGCTGCAAGTCAGCGCCATCTCTTTGCATTGTACGTAACCCACAATCTCAAATGAATACTTTTACAAGTATTTAACATTTGAAAGAAGAAATAGCAATTATAGTTATAATTTTAATTTTTAAGCATGTATTTGCTTGATGTTTAAATCTAAAGAAAATATAACTAGAAAAAAAAAACAATTATGTTGTTGCTATACTCAATAGATGACATTTTTAAAAGCTACTTTTAAAATAAAAATGTCTTTTAAATTGTATGTACTCTAAGCTAGAGATAACTGAACATTAAGAAAATGTAAACAAACATCTGCAGTAATTTTATTTTTATGGGGAGAAAATTCCTGAACCGGTTCAAGAAACGAAGTGAGTAAACAATCTTACGGCTCACTTCGGCAATTTGTGTGGTCCAGCTGAGAGAGGAATCAATGTAAAGACAATTTTTTTTTACACCTAAACTAAGCGGCAGTATCGTGCCTTCATACACGACAGGCCGGAGAGAACTTTGGTCAATTTTAACTATTTGTTTAGAGCCACCTACGATAATGGCCTGACAAGATTATGACGAAAATATTTGTACCACAAAATATAATCGTCACTGGCCATGGCCTCTCATGCCAAACGAGTTTTGGCCGAGTCTCCCGCCACGCCTGCATCAATGACGTCATCCGCAGGGCTCTTGTCGCTGTCAACGTACCAGCGGTCCTTGAGCCTAGTGGCATCTTCCGCGACGATGGCAAGACACCTGACGGGATGACGCTCATTCCTTGGAAGCAGGATCATCCTCTTGTATGGAACGCAACCTGCGCGTATACGCTTGCTCCGTGCCATACAGGTAGTACCTCCCTAGCTGCAGGCGCAGCGGCGGCCTCTGCCGTGTGCTCCAAGCGGTGCAAATATTCAGCTCTCAATAGAACTACATATTTATGCCGTTTGGTGTTGAGACTATGGACCCATGAGGTCCAAATGCTTCCAGCCTATTGAGCATTATTCCTGATGGCGATGTGATTTTTTATTTTGTTTATTTATTTATGTGGGTTACTAGGTAAAACTATATAGTTTTTAGGTTTGTGTTATTTTAAGGTATTATCTTCGTAAAATAATAAACGTAATAAAAATTGTCACTGTACTGGCATGAAAATTAAGTAATTGTGGGAAATTGTTAATGAATTTTCAATTTGTTAATCGTTTTGTTTTGTTCAGTGCATTTATTCATGTACTTAATGAGGGGGCCATTACACACACTAATTAGTATAGGATTAAAATTAGGCGTATACACGAAATAGAATAAGTACTAAAACGAATAACTGTTGCACCTGAAATCGAGGTCTGCAACGAAGAAATTATTATTCCTTATAAAATCTTAACCTTTTTGAACATCCCGTCTCATTATAACATCCCTTAAACTTACAGAATCTCACCTAATTACAACATACCTACATCCAACATGTCTCCTCCTTACAACATAGCTCTTTCGTACTGCCTGCCAATAAAATTTATTTACTACCTACAGGTAGGTAGGTCGTTATTCCGCTAACTCCGCGCGATGTCATTACAACGGTGGACAGTTATCTAGTGTCGTCAAGAAATCTTCAACTAAAAAGCCTAAGCGTCACACTGCTTTCACAGAAGATCTAAATAACAGTATTAGAAACGGAATACGCACAGAAGTATGTGATGCGTCAAATGGAACTACCCAATTTCCACCGCATTACAGATAGCTGTTCAAAAGTCTGGTTTCATAACAGGTGGATGAAGGAGAAAGAGGAGATGACTACATACCCTTATGTGTCAATCAATCTGAAGGTTTTTGGAATAACTAATTCTATGGTGTTTGTGTTAAAGATAATGTTTTTTGTGTTTTTGTAAATAAATGTCTTAAATATTATTGTATATTTTTTTCATTGTAAGCCTCAGTTTCCAGTTGATTTCTTAGTTTAGGGGTTTCATCGAAAAGAAATATTGTAGATGATAACAACACAATATATACAACGCATAATTTCTTACAGCTCAGTCAGATTTAAATAATATTTTCTTTATTGGAAATGCTTATACCCCGAAGTTGGTCCCATATAAATTTGAAAAAAAACACCTTAAGGGTAGGAAAACAGGGAATTATTGTTCTTATGATTATTTGTTATGATTGATTGTTCACCCAAAAAATATTAAAACGGGTTATCAGATCGTGTTTAGATCTATTATAAAGATAAAGTACTCAACGCATTTTCGACGACCTCCGTGGCCGAGCGGTTTGTCCGTGGCCGAGCGGTTTGTACGCCGGGTTAAAAGGTATCGCCTACTTGAGAGTCGCGGGTTCGAATCCCGGTGGGGGCAGATGTTTGTGTGACGAATACGAGCATTTGTATGGATGTTTAATATCTATTTCTAATATAAATATTTACATATGTATCAGTATATTTATTCTATCCATTACCTTAGTGTCCTATAAATATGAGCCTACAATGCTTACTTTGACGCAAGGCTAATTGGTGTGAGTGTTGGTTTAAAAAAAACGCACGTGAATACCTTCTACTCGCTAATTATATATTTTTTATATTTCATTAATTGCTCACAAGTAGGTACTGCAAAAAACACATTATGATCATATCAATGTAAGACAAATAAATAAACTTAATATTATAATTTAAACTTTGACTAATTATTTGTAAAATGTTCTTTGATTGCGAACTGTAAAATAGACTATCACTTAACTTCTTAATAAACGAAGAAAAATCTTGGATTAGTTACTCTGTTTTATCTCTGTTAATTAAATTACAAATGACCCTTGAGTGGGACGGAACGTGGGACACTCGGAAAGTTTTAAGAAACTAAGAAACTAAATTCTATTAAAAAAAAATAGTTTTATTAAATCTTTCTTAAGAAAAAACTCTCCACCAGGCTCTATACAGTGTTTCATGTGTTTGAACCAATTTCCAAAACATTTTTTTTCCAATCCTCAACAGACACCTCATCCACGGCCTTCTCAAACGCTGCTAGCGCTTCTTCCGGCGATGAAAACTGTATTCCTTTGAGCTGATTTTTTTATTTAAGGGAATAAAAAGAAGTCACACGGAGCCAAATCAGGACTGTAAGGAGGGTGTCCGAAGACTAACTGGTGTGGAGTCCAGGACATCCTTCGTTTTGGTCGCAGAATGCGCGAGCGCGTTGTCGTGGTGAAGAAGGACCCCGCGGAGCCCGGTGTTAGGTCGCTTGTTGCTCACTGCAAAAAAAACTTCTGGCAGGCATTTTGTGCTATACCATTCGGCGTTGATGCTGCTTTGGTCTCGAAGTGGAATTGAAATTAGGTACCCCGTCAAAGTGAAGAAACTAGCGATCAAAATTTTCCCTGCGCTCCCCGATCGCTTCACTTTCGTAGGCGTTTGTTCATTTTGAAACAGCCTAACTGTCGACTGACGCTTTGTTTCTGCATCGTTTGAATTAATCCAGCATTCGTCACCTACCACAATATCGTAAACGCGCCTTGACGAGCCTGCATCAAATTTTTGTATATATCACTGCACCAATCCACACGGGCCTGCTTCTGAACTTCGGCGAGGTTGTGCGGCACCCAGCGGGAAACTATCCTCGTTACGCAAAGGTGCTCGGGCAAAATCTTGTGAACACCTCCTGAACCAATCTGCAATGCTGAATCTCCTCGTACGTAATTCGTCTCTGTTCTTGAATATTTTTTTTACTGCTAGCACACTTTCTTCGGTGGCAGCCGTCGTAGGACGACCAAATCTTTTTTCATCCCCCAAAGTAAGTTCCCCTGACCGCGTTTGAATTCGCTATACCAGCGGTAGATGGTCGCTTTTGAAGGTCCTTCATCCATAAAAGTAGTTCGAAATCGATCAAATGACTCATCTGGTTTTAGGCCACATTTAAAGTCGTAATAAATCATTGCACGAACATGTTCTCAATGCAGATCCATTTTTTAATAAGACAAGTAAAAATTTATTGGGTCTCGAAAAGATGCGGATGCTTTTAAATAATGGAAGTTTTCAAAATAATAACAAGTGGCTAGTGTCTTATGCGTAAAAACTTTTTTTCGCAAACTTTCTGAGTGGTCATGTGGTATTTATGAACAAAACACGGCGTAACTAGTTTAAGCTTATGCCTCGTTTATTGATATCGGGGATAAGGTTTATAGTACAGTCATTTCGTAATTTTACTCTTTGGTAGTCTCTAGTTTCATTTTGTATATAATTTTTTTATCGTAAAAGGAGTCGGAAAGGAGATATTGTCAAAATACTTCTTTTAAGCGCCTTTTTCCTAATATGGCGGCGCGAGCAGCAAAAATACAAGGTGGCAAATTCGAAATTCGGAAAGAGCACCTCAAAATTTATAAAATTACCAATTTTCAGAACTCCCGGAAAACTTTCCAGGTAACCACTTATTTCTCGCCAAATGACTGTACTATCAAACAACCAAACAAATGCTAACAGACAAATGACAAGAAACTCGAGTAATAAACAAAAGACAGATCCGTACCGTAATGGTTATTATGGGTGGAATTGTGACAAAAACTCCATTCATGCACTTTAGTCATAAAAAAAGTTGTAACAAAATTGACAGATAGAAAGGGATTTTTAGTTTGCGTAAAATGTTTTTCAATGTATTTAAATACCCGTTTTTTAAAGGTTCTGTTAAAAACAACCTCATTTAGATTATACAAGAAGCATCTTTTACCAAGGCAATTTTACATTAAAGATGTGTAAACAAACCGCTGCAGTGCGTAGATAACAAAATGTTAATCTTATAATGATTTGTTTTGTTTAAAGAGATAACTTTTACAAGCTCAGAAGTGATTATTGACGGTAACCAAATTTATGTTAATGGCCTGAAAAAATAAAACATTATAAGGATGTGTCTTAACAAATATACAACATTCCAAAATATAGACAGAGGGAAGTGTAAGTAATTTCAATTTGGGAAATAGCTGTCTCCATGATGTCATTTGCGAGATATCGCCTGTAGCTCGGATGCATTGTTTTCGGGATATAAAAGCTCTGTTAAATGTCCGTAGAATTTCCCAATAAAAGTACAACGTATTTAACATTGGATGCAACATATCCATGATAAGCCATTAAATCTGCGTTCAATAACACCATTACGACCTGGATTGAGACATAGGACACTTATTTTCGCAAAAATAGGTGGGGTTCCTGTGGTATTCTTCAAAAGCCAAAATTAACGCGAACGAAGTCACGGGCAGCTACTAGTATTGTTAATGGAGTACGTTATATCCTTTCCTAAGTTCTTTCCTGGGATTCGCACCATGCATTTACTAAATTTAATTTAAACGCTTCGGCGGTGAGGTAACAAACAAACAGACACTTCTGCATTTAACATCTAAATTATATAACTGTACTACTCGGCTTTACGGGCGTTAATTTGAGGAAAAAATCAACTAATAAAAAATACTCCATACCATCGCAAATAATACATTATTAAAAAAAAAGGATTACCATAAAAAAGTTAAAGTAAGTTAACCGTGAAAGAAAGACAGACATATATCCCCTCATTGATATAAAGTATAAGCTTAGATTACTAACTCCATGTTTAGTCCCTGTTCATTGCATTATATATCGCATTTTAGTAATATGAACAAAACACGGCGTAACTAGTCTAAGCGTATTTGGAACAAGCTGTATCCCGGAATTATTTTTAAAAACATTTAAAGAGGAAAAAAATTGCCATGCATGATTTGTGCATAACTTATAATTCTCGAAAAGTTTTTGTTTCTGCCCATATTGTTTGTAGCTTTATGTGATATGGCCTTTAGTTTTCCCAATAAATGAACTAATCGCCCAAATTATTTCAAAATCAAAATTGTAAAGTTATAGTAGAATAAATTAACACACGTGAAATCTTTAAACATTACACGCGTTCTGGCAGTGGTGTAAAAACATTTAAAAAAGTACCACAAATTCAAATCGTTCCTATTGGTATCAAAATTACCTGTTTGCCAGTCTGTAGTAGTGAAGGAATTTTCGATTAGTTAATCGATTTGTTTAGTTCATTGTTTCGAAAGGGCTTATTCTTATTGGTAGGTGCAGTTCACTAATTACTTATATATTAAAATGGAGAGTATAAATGACATAGATGGATGGTTTTGGCACTATTTATTATTTAACATTTGTAGACGACACTTATTTCAATAATGTCTCTTGTAAACGGTAACGCTATTTATTTGGAGAATATAGAGGGACCATGCTTTCAAAGTGTGAGTGGCGCGCAGGTTGAACAGCATGTAAGTTTAAGATAATATTAACTAATTTAAATAAATTTTATTGCAATGTATTATTTTTACAATTTTTATAGACACACTGTAAATATTGTTTTGAAAATGTTTTTCGTTCACTTCTTTTTATAGTACTTCTATTTTACGTATAATTAAAAATAACATCTTGACTAACAAAAGTTTTCTAAAAAAGTTATTCTATAATGAAATGTTCATTTCATTATATATTTTTACAAAATTATGTATTTTACCTAAACATTTTTTTTTTCACTATAATAACATTTTTACATACTGTAGTTATTAACAGTAATTTCTTTGTCCTAACAGCCTGAGTGCAGCGAATTGGTGGGGCTGCCGGTACTCAATTACCACCAGTACGAGTACCACCGGGATGGCGCTGCACCGGAGAATCTAGGAATTGTGGCCAACAGCGGTGCAATGCCTCCTTCTTACAACGTCCTGGCTCCAAACGACATCGCGGCTCCTATTGACATCCCAGTTTCGCACAACATCCCGGCTCCGTACGACGTCCCGGCTCCGTATGACGTCCCGGCTCCTTACGACTTCCCGGCTCCTTACGACGTCCCGGCTCTACCTGAAAATCAGGCTACTTACAACATGCCGCCACCTCCGTCTTACTACGCTATGGCTCCATCTTACAACATGCAGCCGCAACAGCAAGTTCTTTCATTGCAAGGTGGGCACAATCATATCAACCAAGATTCACGGTGTTGTAACTACGGTGGGCAGCCTGTGCACGTAGTCAATAAATCTGCTACCAAAAAGCCAAAGCGACACAGGACTGCCTTTACCACGGATCAAATTACTGCTCTGGAGCTGGAATTCGCGAAGTCGCGATATGTAGACCGCACTCGGCGTTTGGAACTGGCAAATACGCTGCGCATGACCGATCGCGCTATCAAAGTCTGGTTCCAAAACCGGCGGATGAAAGACAAAAAGGAGAGGATGGGAAGCCCAGAAATAGATATTTCGTCAAGTTTCAATCATTCTGAGCATCGACAATGTTTTTGTAATAAATGACTCTAAAGTGATCCTATTAAGAAATATGTTTATGTTAATTAAAATAAATCTAAAATACCTATTTTACATTTTGTTTTTGTTCTCAACCTAAGTTTTTTTCACAAAGACTTTTAACAACAGGTATTTGGGAGTTTGAGAGACATATTCTTACTCATGGTGTCATTTTTAGTTTTTTTTTCTATTTATTTAGGTAAACAAAAAATTACAAAGTAAATACATAAAATATATGTATTGGTAATGAGATATATATATTTTAATCGAGCACCGTTTACCGAAATTTCCATCAAACAGCGTTGAGTGTATTAATATTAACAACGCAACTGACAAGGTGTGTTACAATATAACTAGAAAAAAATATCCAGGCAGCAGACGGGACTCGAACCCGCACCCTTCGCTATCCGAGCGAATGCACTGAATAATTATGCTACCGCGGCCCTAATGGCCGCTTCGAAACTCTTCTAGCCAAGCTTAAGCTGCAAGGCAGCGCCACCTCTTTGCATTGTAGGTAACCCACAATGTCAAATGAATACTTTTACAAGTATTAAACATTTGAAAGAAGAAATAGCAATTATAGTTATAATTTAAGTTTTTTAAGCATGTAACTGCTTGATGTTTAAATATAAAGAGTTAGCCTTAAATTCGTTAGTTATCTCGCCTTAAACCCATACTTAAATACCAAATAATATTATTCTCTGTATATAAGAACTAGTAGCACATTTTTACCTCTACACTGGCCACTACAGAAACTGAAGTTTTCCCTTTGTTTGTGTTTGTAATAATGGAAACGGAACCCTACACTGAACATCCAACATGTTCTTGCCCGGTATAAAATCTTGTTTAATTATGACTTGAAATTTGCTTAATTCACTTGGATAAAAACGTAGTAAGTTCAAGGCTCTCTGTGATAGATAAGCTTTTGGATAATACCGCAAGAGGACTTCGGTCTCCCTGTGAAAAATTCGCATTTGAAGAAGAATGCAACAGGTCAAAGTCTTACATTGACTACTTCTCAAATTGGACAGGCATAAACCGAATTATTCAGATTATGTTTGAGGTACACCTGGACAGAAGGTCACTATTCCCGTTGCGTTTGTATACAGTGACTATTCGCGACCAAGGAGACGCTTATATATTTCAATAATTCTCGACTCGATGTTGACCTCGTTATAATGTTGTTTCTGATATATTGTCAAAATATACAGGTATATCATTTATTTTATATCCGATGTTTTTTAAAATGCTCAACATGATGAACATGAGTCTCACTATTACTATTTGTCGATTTGTAATTCAATGGGAATAGTGAGGCTGGTTTGAAAAAAAAGTTCAGTCTCAGTATTACCATTGAAATAGTGAGACCCACCCTTGCAAACACCTTCTGCATTGCTCTTAGCAGTTTACTCCCAAGTAGAATTCGGTGCAAAATTTACACTATTTTAAGTATCTTCCATATAAGTAACTCGTATTTCCCAAGCTTACATAAAATTTTAGTTGCAGGTAAGTATATAAAACACATGTGAATCCGGGAAAAAATAACATTTCTTGTAGATCATATTATACTGTCGTGAATCACCAGGAAGAGAGGTGTGAGGTTATTATTAACCCTTACACAAGTTACCCAATTAGCAAAGTATCAATCATTATATTTTCGATTTCCACACTTTCATCATAATATATTATAAATGATTCACTTTTAAATTATTACTTCATTGGAGCTTTATAGTAACAGATCTTTTAAAAGCATTGTTAATCATCAAATAAATTCGATTAACTATATATTTACGTTTAACAATTTTTTTTAAATATCTCTGATTGAATATTGTAAGCCTAAATAAAAATCTAAAAAATTGTTGACAACATCAGCGTGAATATGTCTCCCACAACCGGTACCTAGGTATTAAGAAAATTCATGCGGTAATTGGGGATAACGTCAATAAATTAGGGAAACACACAGGCTGTTCAAAAAGTATCGCGAATTTTATATTTCGGTGGGCTACGTCCCTGAACGAGTTTTGACCTATCTTCGATTTCTTCCTATTTCTAAATCTGGGAGTACCGTGTCTATATATATATTTAATACGAAATTCAGTGTACAGTCGCATTTCGATTGTTAATTGTGTCAAAAGGTGAAGGCTACCTTTCCCTTAAAATATTTATCGGTGCTACAAAACTTGCTCAAGGGGGCCAAGATGACAGACAAAGTGTGTAGCATGCTAACAACAGACGAAAACTTAATAAAAAAAAAACAATGTATTGGTCCATCGTCGAATCACAATTAGAGAAGTTGCTGTGGACACCACATATCGATTGGCTCGTGCCATTTCATTGTTATCATTGATTTGGGCATAAGGCAGCTCGCCGTACAAAATCATGCCTAAATAGGTCTATTTTAATTTTTTTGTGCGTGATGCTTTGGACAAAATCACCACGCTAATGATACAGCAGCCGCCCGTATTTCACAGATCTGGAACTGTGCCGTTTCCAGTTCCCAAAACTGAAAAGGCCCATGAAAAGACGACGCTACGCCACAACGAAAGCTATAAAGACGGCATCGAAGGAGGAGATGAACAAGATCACAAAGAAAGATTTTTTCATGCTTCGAGAATTGGAAAAAGCTTTTGTATATATGTATATTTTTTTTGGGAACCCAAGAAAAACGATAACTTAAAATTTAAATTTTTGAACAACTTGGTATACTTTTTTTATAAATTACATAGGTATAATCATATTTTGTGAAGAAAATATATATTGGTTGTCCCTTATAAACAAACATTTCTTATTGTATTATAATTAATAATAAGTACGCTTTACAAGAGCTGTTTTATTTTATAATTGTAATAAAATAAACATTTAGTTGTGAACCACTTAAATATATTAAAATGGAAGCTTGTGGGTTGTTAGCATTAAAATAATATTTTGCTAATCGGGTAACTTCTGTAAGGGTTCATGATAATTTTTTGTTGGTGATACACGATACTATCCAACAAATGATAATTTTGATTAGATTCGCAATTATTTTAAATACTTACTTAACACTCAAATTTTAAAAAGAAGAGAGAAAAATATATATTAAAATATATTAAATAGTGCCAATTCTGCACCGCTTGCCATTTAGAGGGGTGAAATGCTAAGAGTAATGCAGAAGAAGTTATCTGCACCGTTCGAGATTTATAATTTATTTATCAACATTCAGAAATGATTTATCGAATATCGCATAATTGGTAGTTATAATAAGAAACGGCGAAAAGCGCCACATTTTTTAATACGACCTATAAAATAGACATTTACTAAAGTTATCCCCCCTTATTAATAAACGAAGAATGGGCTTGGATGAGTTACTCTATATTTTGTCTCTGATAATTGAATTACAAAAATCACTTAAGTGATCTTTTATGAACAAACCACGATGTAACCAGTCTAAGCTTATTCCTCATTTATAATGAGGGGGGATAAGGCTTAAACAACCAAACAAATGCGAACAGACAAATGACAAGAAACTCGAGTATAAACCAAAATATACATGCGGGCAATACTCATTGAAGGTGAAAAACGTCACAAAAAACACGCTATCCGTGTAGTTTTGTAAGTAAGTAATAAATGAAACTTATTAAACTAATTCCTCTAGCCATTCTTAAGCTGCAAGTCAGCGCCATCTCTTTGCATTGTACGTAACCCACAATCTCAAATGAATACTTTTACAAGTATTTAACATTTGAAAGAAGAAATAGCAATTATAGTTATAATTTTAATTTTTAAGCATGTATTTGCTTGATGTTTAAATCTAAAGAAAATATAACTAGAAAAAAAAACAATTATGTTGTTGCTATACTCAATAGATGACATTTTTAAAAGCTACTTTTAAAATAAAAATGTCTTTTAAATTGTATGTACTCTAAGCTAGAGATAACTGAACATTAAGAAAATGTAAACAAACATCTGCAGTAATTTTATTTTTATGGGGAGAAAATTCCTGAACCGGTTCAAGAAACGAAGTGAGTAAACAATCTTACGGCTCACTTCGGCAATTTGTGTGGTCCAGCTGAGAGAGGAATCAATGTAAAGACAATTTTTTTTTACACCTAAACTAAGCGGCAGTATCGTGCCTTCATACACGACAGGCCGGAGAGAACTTTGGTCAATTTTAACTATTTGTTTAGAGCCACCTACGATAATGGCCTGACAAGATTATGACGAAAATATTTGTACCACAAAATATAATCGTCACTGGCCATGGCCTCTCATGCCAAACGAGTTTTGGCCGAGTCTCCCGCCACGCCTGCATCAATGACGTCATCCGCAGGGCTCTTGTCGCTGTCAACGTACCAGCGGTCCTTGAGCCTAGTGGCATCTTCCGCGACGATGGCAAGACACCTGACGGGATGACGCTCATTCCTTGGAAGCAGGATCATCCTCTTGTATGGAACGCAACCTGCGCGTATACGCTTGCTCCGTGCCATACAGGTAGTACCTCCCTAGCTGCAGGCGCAGCGGCGGCCTCTGCCGTGTGCTCCAAGCGGTGCAAATATTCAGCTCTCAATAGAACTACATATTTATGCCGTTTGGTGTTGAGACTATGGACCCATGAGGTCCAAATGCTTCCAGCCTATTGAGCATTATTCCTGATGGCGATGTGATTTTTTATTTTGTTTATTTATTTATGTGGGTTACTAGGTAAAACTATATAGTTTTTAGGTTTGTGTTATTTTAAGGTATTATCTTCGTAAAATAATAAACGTAATAAAAATTGTCACTGTACTGGCATGAAAATTAAGTAATTGTGGGAAATTGTTAATGAATTTTCAATTTGTTAATCGTTTTGTTTTGTTCAGTGCATTTATTCATGTACTTAATGAGGGGGCCATTACACACACTAATTAGTATAGGATTAAAATTAGGCGTATACACGAAATAGAATAAGTACTAAAACGAATAACTGTTGCACCTGAAATCGAGGTCTGCAACGAAGAAATTATTATTCCTTATAAAATCTTAACCTTTTTGAACATCCCGTCTCATTATAACATCCCTTAAACTTACAGAATCTCACCTAATTACAACATACCTACATCCAACATGTCTCCTCCTTACAACATAGCTCTTTCGTACTGCCTGCCAATAAAATTTATTTACTACCTACAGGTAGGTAGGTCGTTATTCCGCTAACTCCGCGCGATGTCATTACAACGGTGGACAGTTATCTAGTGTCGTCAAGAAATCTTCAACTAAAAAGCCTAAGCGTCACACTGCTTTCACAGAAGATCTAAATAACAGTATTAGAAACGGAATACGCACAGAAGTATGTGATGCGTCAAATGGAACTACCCAATTTCCACCGCATTACAGATAGCTGTTCAAAAGTCTGGTTTCATAACAGGTGGATGAAGGAGAAAGAGGAGATGACTACATACCCTTATGTGTCAATCAATCTGAAGGTTTTTGGAATAACTAATTCTATGGTGTTTGTGTTAAAGATAATGTTTTTTGTGTTTTTGTAAATAAATGTCTTAAATATTATTGTATATTTTTTTCATTGTAAGCCTCAGTTTCCAGTTGATTTCTTAGTTTAGGGGTTTCATCGAAAAGAAATATTGTAGATGATAACAACACAATATATACAACGCATAATTTCTTACAGCTCAGTCAGATTTAAATAATATTTTCTTTATTGGAAATGCTTATACCCCGAAGTTGGTCCCATATAAATTTGAAAAAAAACACCTTAAGGGTAGGAAAACAGGGAATTATTGTTCTTATGATTATTTGTTATGATTGATTGTTCACCCAAAAAATATTAAAACGGGTTGTCAGATCGTGTTTAGATCTATTATAAAGATAAAGTACTCAACGCATTTTCGACGACCTCCGTGGCCGAGCGGTTTGTCCGTGGCCGAGCGGTTTGTACGCCGGGTTAAAAGGTATCGCCTACTTGAGAGTCGCGGGTTCGAATCCCGGTGGGGGCAGATGTTTGTGTGACGAATACGAGCATTTGTATGGATGTTTAATATCTATTTCTAATATAAATATTTACATATGTATCAGTATATTTATTCTATCCATTACCTTAGTGTCCTATAAATATGAGCCTACAATGCTTACTTTGACGCAAGGCTAATTGGTGTGAGTGTTGGTTTAAAAAAAACGCACGTGAATACCTTCTACTCGCTAATTATATATTTTTTATATTTCATTAATTGCTCACAAGTAGGTACTGCAAAAAACACATTATGATCATATCAATGTAAGACAAATAAATAAACTTAATATTATAATTTAAACTTTGACTAATTATTTGTAAAATGTTCTTTGATTGCGAACTGTAAAATAGACTATCACTTAACTTCTTAATAAACGAAGAAAAATCTTGGATTAGTTACTCTGTTTTATCTCTGTTAATTAAATTACAAATGACCCTTGAGTGGGACGGAACGTGGGACACTCGGAAAGTTTTAAGAAACTAAGAAACTAAATTCTATTAAAAAAAAATAGTTTTATTAAATCTTTCTTAAGAAAAAACTCTCCACCAGGCTCTATACAGTGTTTCATGTGTTTGAACCAATTTCCAAAACATTTTTTTTCCAATCCTCAACAGACACCTCATCCACGGCCTTCTCAAACGCTGCTAGCGCTTCTTCCGGCGATGAAAACTGTATTCCTTTGAGCTGATTTTTTTATTTAAGGGAATAAAAAGAAGTCACACGGAGCCAAATCAGGACTGTAAGGAGGGTGTCCGAAGACTAACTGGTGTGGAGTCCAGGACATCCTTCGTTTTGGTCGCAGAATGCGCGAGCGCGTTGTCGTGGTGAAGAAGGACCCCGCGGAGCCCGGTGTTAGGTCGCTTGTTGCTCACTGCAAAAAAAACTTCTGGCAGGCATTTTGTGCTATACCATTCGGCGTTGATGCTGCTTTGGTCTCGAAGTGGAATTGAAATTAGGTACCCCGTCAAAGTGAAGAAACTAGCGATCAAAATTTTCCCTGCGCTCCCCGATCGCTTCACTTTCGTAGGCGTTTGTTCATTTTGAAACAGCCTAACTGTCGACTGACGCTTTGTTTCTGCATCGTTTGAATTAATCCAGCATTCATCACCTACCACAATATCGTAAACGCGCCTTGACGAGCCTGCATCAAATTTTTGTATATATCACTGCACCAATCCACACGGGCCTGCTTCTGAACTTCGGCGAGGTTGTGCGGCACCCAGCGGGAAACTATCCTCGTTACGCAAAGGTGCTCGGGCAAAATCTTGTGAACACCTCCTGAACCAATCTGCAATGCTGAATCTCCTCGTACGTAATTCGTCTCTTTTCTTGAATATTTTTTTCACTGCTAGCACACTTTCTTCGGTGGCAGCCGTCGTAGGACGACCAAATCTTTTTTCATCCCCCAAAGTAAGTTCCCCTGACCGCGTTTGAATTCGCTATACCAGCGGTAGATGGTCGCTTTTGAAGGTCCTTCATCCATAAAAGTAGTTCGAAATCGATCAAATGACTCATCTGGTTTTAGGCCACATTTAAAGTCGTAATAAATCATTGCACGAACATGTTCTCAATGCAGATCCATTTTTTAATAAGACAAGTAAAAATTTATTGGGTCTCGAAAAGATAACAAGTGGCTAGTGTCTTATGCGTAAAAACTTTTTTTCGCAAACTTTCTGAGTGGTCATGTGGTATTTATGAACAAAACACGGCGTAACTAGTTTAAGCTTATGCCTCGTTTATTGATATCGGGGATAAGGTTTATAGTACAGTCATTTCGTAATTTTACTCTTTGGTAGTCTCTAGTTTCATTTTGTATATAATTTTTTTATCGTAAAAGGAGTCGGAAAGGAGATATTGTCAAAATACTTCTTTTAAGCGCCTTTTTCCTAATATGGCGGCGCGAGCAGCAAAAATACAAGGTGGCAAATTCGAAATTCGGAAAGAGCACCTCAAAATTTATAAAATTACCAATTTTCAGAACTCCCGGAAAACTTTCCAGGTAACCACTTATTTCTCGCCAAATGACTGTACTATCAAACAACCAAACAAATGCTAACAGACAAATGACAAGAAACTCGAGTAATAAACAAAAGACAGATCCGTACCGTAATGGTTATTATGGGTGGAATTGTGACAAAAACTCCATTCATGCACTTTAGTCATAAAAAAAGTTGTAACAAAATTGACAGATAGAAAGGGATTTTTAGTTTGCGTAAAATGTTTTTCAATGTATTTAAATACCCGTTTTTTAAAGGTTCTGTTAAAAACAACCTCATTTAGATTATACAAGAAGCATCTTTTACCAAGGCAATTTTACATTAAATTTTTCAATTTGGGAAATAGCTGTCTCCATGATGTCATTTGCGAGATATCGCCTGTAGCTCGGATGCATTGTTTTCGGGATATAAAAGCTCTGTTAAATGTCCGTAGAATTTCCCAATAAAAGTACAACGTATTTAACATTGGATGCAACATATCCATGATAAGCCATTAAATCTGCGTTCAATAACACCATTACGACCTGGATTGAGACATAGGACACTTATTTTCGCAAAAATAGGTGGGGTTCCTGTGGTATTCTTCAAAAGCCAAAATTAACGCGAACGAAGTCACGGGCAGCTACTAGTATTGTTAATGGAGTACGTTATATCCTTTCCTAAGTTCTTTCCTGGGATTCGCACCATGCATTTACTAAATTTAATTTAAACGCTTCGGCGGTGAGGTAACAAACAAACAGACACTTCTGCATTTAACATCTAAATTATATAACTGTACTACTCGGCTTTACGGGCGTTAATTTGAGGAAAAAATCAACTAATAAAAAATACTCCATACCATCGCAAATAATACATTATTAAAAAAAAAGGATTACCATAAAAAAGTTAAAGTAAGTTAACCGTGAAAGAAAGACAGACATATATCCCCTCATTGATATAAAGTATAAGCTTAGATTACTAACTCCATGTTTAGTCCCTGTTCATTGCATTATATATCGCATTTTAGTAATATGAACAAAACACGGCGTAACTAGTCTAAGCGTATTTGGAACAAGCTGTATCCCGGAATTATTTTTAAAAACATTTAAAGAGGAAAAAAATTGCCATGCATGATTTGTGCATAACTTATAATTCTCGAAAAGTTTTTGTTTCTGCCCATATTGTTTGTAGCTTTATGTGATATGGCCTTTAGTTTTCCCAATAAATGAACTAATCGCCCAAATTATTTCAAAATCAAAATTGTAAAGTTATAGTAGAATAAATTAACACACGTGAAATCTTTAAACATTACACGCGTTCTGGCAGTGGTGTAAAAACATTTAAAAAAGTACCACAAATTCAAATCGTTCCTATTGGTATCAAAATTACCTGTTTGCCAGTCTGTAGTAGTGAAGGAATTTTCGATTAGTTAATCGATTTGTTTAGTTCATTGTTTCGAAAGGGCTTATTCTTATTGGTAGGTGCAGTTCACTAATTACTTATATATTAAAATGGAGAGTATAAATGACATAGATGGATGGTTTTGGCACTATTTATTATTTAACATTTGTAGACGACACTTATTTCAATAATGTCTCTTGTAAACGGTAACGCTATTTATTTGGAGAATATAGAGGGACCATGCTTTCAAAGTGTGAGTGGCGCGCAGGTTGAACAGCATGTAAGTTTAAGATAATATTAACTAATTTAAATAAATTTTATTGCAATGTATTATTTTTACAATTTTTATAGACACACTGTAAATATTGTTTTGAAAATGTTTTTCGTTCACTTCTTTTTATAGTACTTCTATTTTACGTATAATTAAAAATAACATCTTGACTAACAAAAGTTTTCTAAAAAAGTTATTCTATAATGAAATGTTCATTTCATTATATATTTTTACAAAATTATGTATTTTACCTAAACATTTTTTTTTTCACTATAATAACATTTTTACATACTGTAGTTATTAACAGTAATTTCTTTGTCCTAACAGCCTGAGTGCAGCGAATTGGTGGGGCTGCCGGTACTCAATTACCACCAGTACGAGTACCACCGGGATGGCGCTGCACCGGAGAATCTAGGAATTGTGGCCAACAGCGGTGCAATGCCTCCTTCTTACAACGTCCTGGCTCCAAACGACATCGCGGCTCCTATTGACATCCCAGTTTCGCACAACATCCCGGCTCCGTACGACGTCCCGGCTCCGTATGACGTCCCGGCTCCTTACGACTTCCCGGCTCCTTACGACGTCCCGGCTCTACCTGAAAATCAGGCTACTTACAACATGCCGCCACCTCCGTCTTACTACGCTATGGCTCCATCTTACAACATGCAGCCGCAACAGCAAGTTCTTTCATTGCAAGGTGGGCACAATCATATCAACCAAGATTCACGGTGTTGTAACTACGGTGGGCAGCCTGTGCACGTAGTCAATAAATCTGCTACCAAAAAGCCAAAGCGACACAGGACTGCCTTTACCACGGATCAAATTACTGCTCTGGAGCTGGAATTCGCGAAGTCGCGATATGTAGACCGCACTCGGCGTTTGGAACTGGCAAATACGCTGCGCATGACCGATCGCGCTATCAAAGTCTGGTTCCAAAACCGGCGGATGAAAGACAAAAAGGAGAGGATGGGAAGCCCAGAAATAGATATTTCGTCAAGTTTCAATCATTCTGAGCATCGACAATGTTTTTGTAATAAATGACTCTAAAGTGATCCTATTAAGAAATATGTTTATGTTAATTAAAATAAATCTAAAATACCTATTTTACATTTTGTTTTTGTTCTCAACCTAAGTTTTTTTCACAAAGACTTTTAACAACAGGTATTTGGGAGTTTGAGAGACATATTCTTACTCATGGTGTCATTTTTAGTTTTTTTTTCTATTTATTTAGGTAAACAAAAAATTACAAAGTAAATACATAAAATATATGTATTGGTAATGAGATATATATATTTTAATCGAGCACCGTTTACCGAAATTTCCATCAAACAGCGTTGAGTGTATTAATATTAACAACGCAACTGACAAGGTGTGTTACAATATAACTAGAAAAAAATATCCAGGCAGCAGACGGGACTCGAACCCGCACCCTTCGCTATCCGAGCGAATGCACTGAATAATTATGCTACCGCGGCCCTAATGGCCGCTTCGAAACTCTTCTAGCCAAGCTTAAGCTGCAAGGCAGCGCCACCTCTTTGCATTGTAGGTAACCCACAATGTCAAATGAATACTTTTACAAGTATTAAACATTTGAAAGAAGAAATAGCAATTATAGTTATAATTTAAGTTTTTTAAGCATGTAACTGCTTGATGTTTAAATATAAAGAGTTAGCCTTAAATTCGTTAGTTATCTCGCCTTAAACCCATACTTAAATACCAAATAATATTATTCTCTGTATATAAGAACTAGTAGCACATTTTTACCTCTACACTGGCCACTACAGAAACTGAAGTTTTCCCTTTGTTTGTGTTTGTAATAATGGAAACGGAACCCTACACTGAACATCCAACATGTTCTTGCCCGGTATAAAATTTTGTTTAATTATGACTTGAAATTTGCTTAATTCACTTGGATAAAAACGTAGTAAGTTCAAGGCTCTCTGTGATAGATAAGCTTTTGGATAATACCGCAAGAGGACTTCGGTCTCCCTGTGAAAAATTCGCATTTGAAGAAGAATGCAACAGGTCAAAGTCTTACATTGACTACTTCTCAAATTGGACAGGCATAAACCGAATTATTCAGATTATGTTTGAGGTACACCTGGACAGAAGGTCACTATTCCCGTTGCGTTTGTATACAGTGACTATTCGCGACCAAGGAGACGCTTATATATTTCAATAATTCTCGACTCGATGTTGACCTCGTTATAATGTTGTTTCTGATATATTGTCAAAATATACAGGTATATCATTTATTTTATATCCGATGTTTTTTAAAATGCTCAACATGATGAACATGAGTCTCACTATTACTATTTGTCGATTTGTAATTCAATGGGAATAGTGAGGCTGGTTTGAAAAAAAAGTTCAGTCTCAGTATTACCATTGAAATAGTGAGACCCACCCTTGCAAACACCTTCTGCATTGCTCTTAGCAGTTTACTCCCAAGTAGAATTCGGTGCAAAATTTACACTATTTTAAGTATCTTCCATATAAGTAACTCGTATTTCCCAAGCTTACATAAAATTTTAGTTGCAGGTAAGTATATAAAACACATGTGAATCCGGGAAAAAATAACATTTCTTGTAGATCATATTATACTGTCGTGAATCACCAGGAAGAGAGGTGTGAGGTTATTATTAACCCTTACACAAGTTACCCAATTAGCAAAGTATCAATCATTATATTTTCGATTTCCACACTTTCATCATAATATATTATAAATGATTCACTTTTAAATTATTACTTCATTGGAGCTTTATAGTAACAGATCTTTTAAAAGCATTGTTAATCATCAAATAAATTCGATTAACTATATATTTACGTTTAACAATTTTTTTAAATATCTCTGATTGAATATTGTAAGCCTAAATAAAAATCTAAAAAATTGTTGACAACATCAGCGTGAATATGTCTCCCACAACCGGTACCTAGGTATTAAGAAAATTCATGCGGTAATTGGGGATAACGTCAATAAATTAGGGAAACACACAGGCTGTTCAAAAAGTATCGCGAATTTTATATTTCGGTGGGCTACGTCCCTGAACGAGTTTTGACCTATCTTCGATTTCTTCCTATTTCTAAATCTGGGAGTACCGTGTCTATATATATATTTAATACGAAATTCAGTGTACAGTCGCATTTCGATTGTTAATTGTGTCAAAAGGTGAAGGCTACCTTTCCCTTAAAATATTTATCGGTGCTACAAAACTTGCTCAAGGGGGCCAAGATGACAGACAAAGTGTGTAGCATGCTAACAACAGACGAAAACTTAATAAAAAAAAAACAATGTATTGGTCCATCGTCGAATCACAATTAGAGAAGTTGCTGTGGACACCACATATCGATTGGCTCGTGCCATTTCATTGTTATCATTGATTTGGGCATAAGGCAGCTCGCCGTACAAAATCATGCCTAAATAGGTCTATTTTAATTTTTTTGTGCGTGATGCTTTGGACAAAATCACCACGCTAATGATACAGCAGCCGCCCGTATTTCACAGATCTGGAACTGTGCCGTTTCCAGTTCCCAAAACTGAAAAGGCCCATGAAAAGACGACGCTACGCCACAACGAAAGCTATAAAGACGGCATCGAAGGAGGAGATGAACAAGATCACAAAGAAAGATTTTTTCATGCTTCGAGAATTGGAAAAAGCTTTTGTATATATGTATATTTTTTTTGGGAACCCAAGAAAAACGATAACTTAAAATTTAAATTTTTGAACAACTTGGTATACTTTTTTTATAAATTACATAGGTATAATCGTATTTTGTGAAGAAAATATATATTGGTTGTCCCTTATAAACAAACATTTCTTATTGTATTATAATTAATAATAAGTACGCTTTACAAGAGCTGTTTTATTTTATAATTGTAATAAAATAAACATTTAGTTGTGAACCACTTAAATATATTAAAATGGAAGCTTGTGGGTTGTTAGCATTAAAATAATATTTTGCTAATCGGGTAACTTCTGTAAGGGTTCATGATAATTTTTTGTTGGTGATACACGATACTATCCAACAAATGATAATTTTGATTAGATTCGCATCTATTTTAAATACTTACTTAACACTCAAATTTTAAAAAGAAGAGAGAGAAATATATTAAAATATATTAAATAGTGCCAATTCTGCACCGCTTGCCATTAACAGGGGTGAAATGCTAAGAATAATGCAGAAGAAGGTATCTGCACCGTTCGAGATTTATAATTTATTTCATCATGTTCGGAGAGTCGGATAGTCAACGAAGGTTTTAAGAATGATGAAAAGTTTGAAACTCCTGGGAAAACAGGCAAGGCCGACCAAAGAAAGAAATGGTCACATAAAGAAACATGGCCAGATGCTTTTAGTGAAGATACCTATCACTAATTTTTCTAACTGCACATTTACAAATTGCTTCTCTAAATAAACTTGTTATGTACTATAAAATGACTATTATTTTCTTAACAAGTATGTTAAAAAACGTCGTATGATGATACTTGTGTGTATTGATGATTACCTAACGGCTCTGGTCTCAATGGCACCTCAGCGGTAATCACCAACATTACACAATTTTACACTATAAAGTACTATTTTATATATAATAATTTTATTCTGATTCAATTAAATATGCTTGGCCATACCCATTTTAAAGCTTCGTTGCGTGCGCTGCGTAAGCGGTTAAAGATACACAAAAGTCATATATGACGGAATTGTTCCCTTTTAAAAGGTAAAAAAGGCCGCGACAATATATGTTCATCTTTCAAGTTTGCCTCACTATAAACCTTTTCCTCAAATTTGCCAAATTCATCGACTGTTAGGCGATATGAAGTTCGCCGGGTCAGTTAGTTATTGATATTGCGTAATGTGAGTCATCTGAATATTGTACAGTTTAGAATCTGCAGTGTTATTTTGTAAGAAGAAACTCAGTCTTCACTCATTTTATGTGTGATTTTTTTAAATTTGTTTGAAACTGGCGGCCGCCCGTGACTTCGTACGCGTGGAGTTAGTTAGAAATAAAGGTTTACTGCTCGTTCCCCGTAGGTGATGGCGTGATAATATGTAGCCTATATGTTGACCCAACTTCTTAAAAATTACACAATTTTACACTATAAAGTACTATTTTATATATAATAATTTTATTCTGATTCAATTAAATATGCTTGGCTAAATTTTTATAAGCAGAGGTACCTACTGTTTATAAAACAGAAACAAAATATGACTGTATAGTGTGTCTTATTAATTACCTATTTTACTTGAATGAACTGCTAGTATCAAAATCATTTTGGTCAGGCTGTACAGGGTTGCTACATGCATACTAGTGGCGCCATCATTTAATGTCACGACTTTATAGATAAACTGTACTTCTTATCACATATCCCAACGACATTAAAACTGTCCATTCGTTAAAATGTCTGAAAATTTTGATTGGTAATGTCTGGAAGTTTTCGCTGAAAAGTGGGAAGAACAGTTTATATGGGAAAATAAAATTGTTGTTTTTATTATCTTCCTCGCTCACACACCGCTTAAACCTTCCCTGGACTACGAAAACATTTCAAAATCAGTAACATTGGCCCAGCCGTTCTTGAGTTTTAACGAGACACACGAACCACAATAGATTTTTGTATATTTATTATTAAATCATAGTCAATGAAAAGTAATGGGCGTGATTTGGACACGATCGTTACGATACTGTGTTACTTTGGTGTAAAACATTTTTTTTTCAATCAACCATAAACACCACATTAAAAACAATATCACTAGAGAGAGCTACAAGATATTATCTTCTTATTTACGATAGAAAGTACTTGAAAAGATGTGACGAAGCCATTAACTTTAATCGAGTAGGGTTCCAGGATTCCACAGGGTAAGGGATTGCATAAGTGTAGGCACTAGTGATATTTTTTGTATCACAAGCGTCTATAGGCTATTTTAGCCGTTTACCATCAGGCGGGTCATAAGCTTATTTGCCATCCTTTTAACAAAAAAAATAACAACCGGAACTTTTAAG